GTGGGGTGGGGTGGGTGGGGTGGGGTGGGGTGGCTGGGGTGTGGAGTGGGGGAATCGTGTGCGCAGCAACCAGCAGCACATGCCATCCTAAGCCACATATGATCTATGACATCTAGGAAAGCATCGTCGTCTGTGCGGTCGTTCGCCTCAAAGCCTATCGTATTGAAAAGTGTATCTGGAACCCTATTGAAAAGTCTATCTGGAACCCTATTGAAAAGTGTATCGTTGATTTTTACCGGTATCGTTGATTCCTATCGACAACCCTATCCGAATCCTATCGGCTCAAAAAGTCTATCGTTGATTCCTAGCGGTAACTCTATCCGAAACCCTAACAGGAAATTATTTTGGGCCCTCCTTTGCTGTAGCATGTTCGCACTTCATAAGTGTAGAATAGGGCAGTGCGGCACATGTCGTCACAAGTCATAAGATCTTGATTGAAAGCGCCAGTCAACACACTCCATGTCCAACACCAAGCTCTGTGGCACGTACCCAAAAATTCAGTGATGCGGCGGCCAACGCCAGGAAGCTTTGTCCATTCGCGTTTGCCTCCGAGCAAGCCAGTATCTTGGGACATCTCTTGATAACATTCCACGGAACTTGCATGCTGATGCTTGCGTTCAGATGAATGTCTGTTTCCTCCCTATCTCGGTCTCATAGGCATCCTTCCTTGTATCCCCATGTCTCTTTCCACAGGGTAGAGCAATCTGGTGGGCAGTCGAAAGAAAGCATGGCCACAGTAAATGTCGGCTGGTTCTTAACTGTATCAACATATATGGCAGTTTCGTACTGAAGCTTGAAGTTGGCATCTGAACCTTAGAACCGTAGAGCCTTAGGGTGAAGAGCTTGTGCTTGACTGTGAAGGATCAGTGTCCAATGATGTTTGCCGCCCTTCGGGGAACCAACTTCGCTGTTACGTAAAACGGACCGGCTCTCTGGCATTGCAGGCAGGAGGGGGCCCTGGTAAAGGAAAGGAACAACGAACGGAACCAATATGGGAGTTTCAGAAAATTAGGGTACCTTATTTTGGGGTCCTTATAATAGGGATCCTATTAATTAGGGTACTATATTAGGGTCCCCTATTTTCGGAAACCCCCATATGGTGGACGGGCGAGCCAGACGGCTTGACGGCTTAGCAGTTCCAAGCCTAATGAACGAAAGTACGCAGGAAAACGCAACAGCCACCGAATCATTTACCCTCGCGCCGGGTCCTGTCTATTTGCTGTGCCTTCCGGATATAAGCTGCCCACCCTTGCGGAAAAGGAAAGGGTTGACGACCTCTCTTCCAAATTTTGCTTCGGATGGAAGAGCCTTCACCCCGATTTCGGCTCATGCAGTGTATTCCAGAAGAAACCCAACCGATTTTCCTTTCAACCTCTGCACAGGTCACTGCATCGCTGACGGATTACATATATCAACTAGCGCTCACACCTTTTTCTCTTCGACCTTGTGGTGGTCATCATGCTGAAGTCTTCCCCTGCTGCTATGAGCCGTGCCTGCAATGCTTGCATGTAGGATAGAGTCGCTGCTTACTTTCCGGTTTCGCACTCTCGTTCTCTTGACAAAGAATTCCTCGGAAACATTCCTGCCGCCACCATGCTGTTTCAGAGAGGGCGCAGCAGTTCCCCTGGCACGTGCGCGCATCGCAGCTGCAGGTCTTTCCATGTCTGCGTAAATCTCTCTTCCCATCTCCCTCTTTGCCTTGCTTTGCGTTGCTTGGGGGATGAGGTGCGCGCTCCTCTCGCTCTCTGGGGCCAAGAGCACAACCCACTTCAGAGCCCTGACACTCTCTTGGCGGGCCCAACCTTGCTGAAGAGAGCTGCCGGGACTGCTTCAGCCACGCGCTTGAACAGGCCAGCAGTCTCTTTTGTAAAGGGCCTCGCCAAAGGCAGTACCCCCAAACATGTTCGCCCAGTCATGGTTCATAACACGAGTCAAGTTCTTAAGTTGCCAAGCAATAAAAACATTCTCACTAAACAGAGTCGCCAGACTCCGAAGCACGATGAACACCCTTTTTGTTAGCGACTTGTGTGACTCGTCTCGTGGAATCTCCGAAGTCAAGGTCGAAGTTTCTGAGACACCCAAGGAAGGAACGTCTCATGTGTCTAAACCTGTTAAAATCCAAAGGCGGGGAGCTGGTCATTAGTGATTACATGGACTGGCCAGCTAACCTCAAAGCCAACGCGCCGATCGGATTCCGTTAATGCAAAGAGCACCACGTTATTTGGATCACAACTGAGCTTCAATGCACATCAACAAGACTCTTTCAATAGGTGCATGATGCCCAGGCGAGGTTTCCACGGGCCGTGCCTGCACTGGCAAAGAAGATGCAGAAATGTATCCCCTTTGCGTGGATGCACCTTCCCGGCTGGCTGTGAGCAGGGTGAAGGCTGAAACGCGAAGTGCCTGATGACCACTTAGCGCCGTGAACCTGCCCTGAAGAGATGCGGTGCAAGCGCCCATTTGGCAGCATCGAAGTTCATGACTCTCTATATGACGCTGCTGACAACTGAAGTCGTTCTTATCGGGTGTCACGGCCGTGGCCAACCTGTTTGCCTGAGGCAAGCGATACGTGCAAGAGAAGGACGACGGGGCCTCCGAAGCATCAACGCCACCCTGCCATGCAGTGGTGTGCAAGGCCAGGGCCGTTGTATACGAACTGCTAGATTACGGATCGGTGATCTAAATTGACGTCACACTGCACCATCTGCAGATACAACTGAGCATTCCCTGTTGTGCGTCTCAGTATGCTTTCCAGCCGGCGATCGGACTGTATTTTTTCCTGCGCAGTAGTGGTGCTGAGAAGAAGCTAAGTCTCCGCAGCCACCTGTGGCTCGGCTCTCACAGCAGGGCGACATTCTCGGGCGCCACAGACTGCCAGCTGTGCGGTTGGGGCTATGCAGAGCCATCGGGGTACGTGGGGTTTGTAGTCCTGGAATCTGAAGGGTCCAGGCAAGGTAGGGACTGGCACCGAAGTCTGAGAATTGTTCAAAGGCATCAGACGAATGAGGGCAGGGATCGGTCCTCCAGGTGCTTGGATGGCAGGCGCACGAAGTAGGTGCTTGTCTCTTCGTCGAAGCCCTTTCGTGGGAAAGACATAAACTTAGCTGGACGTCTGCCGCCGTTCAGAGTTCTCGAGGCTTTCTTTGGAGTTGCAGAATCCATGGCGAAGGCATCTTCAGCTGTGAGCAACCATGTGGAAATATCTGCCGCACCTCCAGGGTGCACCTCTGGCCATTCATGTCTGCCAAGAAGCCATCGAGGCCTGCAGCTTTCACTTTTTGGCCGCTGTGTTTACAGCACACTGAATGCTGGTTGTCGGCATCCCATCAGCAGAGAACATCGGTAAGCTATGTTCCCAAGACCCTAGCACCTCAGAGAGTGGTAACAACACTGGATCCTGAAGGATATCGGATACCTCTCAAGGAGATCTTCCATGCACGTCTGGCGCGCTGCTGCTGGTGGTGGTGGTGGTGAGTATACAAGTGGGTGAGCACCACAGGCGCTAGAAGTTCGTACCGGTACTTGGATCAGCGTACAGCTACAACTCCATGATACCAATGAGTCCACAGAGTATACTGCGGTCACAGGCGCAGGTCAGGTGCATCACCATGCCATGCTGTGGCGCCAAACTGCAGAATGCAACAGTTGCAAAGGGCCTCGCAGCTCGACCTGGCTCCCAGCCTGCAGCACAATGAAGCGTGCAGCGAGAAGTAGCCTGGCACTCGTTGACGGAGGCCTTCAGAGGGGCAGACAGGAGCGGCCGCCGCTTCGGTGCCTGAGCCATGGCTTCAAATCAGATGTGCCGGAGAAGCACGTTGCCAAAGCTCCGAGGGCTCACCTTCGCTGGCTCAGCCTCCTTCATGCCAGGGATCTCCTTTTTGAAGTCCTGAGAGTTTAGGGGCATTGCGTCCGACGAATCTGTGGGAAGAACTCGCGAGCCCAAGGCCCGGGAGGCTGCGAGGGGCTTGCGCTGTGCCCAGGCATGCATCGAGTCGGCCTGCGCATCTCGAGGCGAGGCGAGGGGCGTGGTGAAGTATGGAGGTGTTGAGATCTGTCGCAGACCAGGAAGAGCTGAAAGTAAGATGTACCATCGTGTAGCTCTGCCGTCCGGCCCTACACATGCCTTCCAAGCGGCATCAGCCGCTGGGCGAGGCTTCAGCTCGACCTGGACACTGACTGCTTCAGGGCGCCGGGTCGGTTCACCCATAAAACTTCTGACACCTCTTGTCCATGTGGTCGACCTGATTATGAGTAACAACCCGAAATGGCATCAGACAGGGTGACAAACAATCATATGAATGACATACCAGATCCGAAACAAACTATCGTCAGAAATTACGCCCCAAGCCTCACCACGGCCGATCTCAGACTCGCCATGTGCCTCCTTCGACTGCAGCATGCCACGCGCACTTGCAAAACACCCGTCGAAGCTGGCAACAAGTGACCAGACGTGATTCAAAGACTCCAATACCTTGGCATCGCTTCCATAGGCCTGGCCTCGTCTCGGAAAAGGCCGGCGAAGGCACCTCAAAGAAGAATCTGCGTGAATCCGAGGATGCTCGGCATAGGCTCATGCTTCCTGCACAGCTACACATCCGAATGTAAGCAGCTCGCCTGCTTTCTTCCTGTCGCCTCCCAGACAGCAGGATAAGTTGAATGCCTAAGGCAGGCCAACGTGTCTGTGAGAGAAACTGACCAGCAAAGACAAGCCCCCAGTTCCTGAAAGGCTGGTGCAGACAGCAGCCCTTCTCTCCGGCCTTTGCTGGGGTAGCCACGTGGCAGTCCTCGAGGATGCAAAGACCCAGGCTGCCTGGAAGCGGCAGACACAAAGATCCTGGTGTTTCATGGCACCGCAGGCTGAAGTAGCAGTACCACTGCTCCCTTATTGGTCGCGGAACCAGGTGGACATTCGACTGCCGTGGACTTACAAACGACAACCTGGCATCCATGCCCACACTCGATGCGTTGTGTCTGATGACTGCGACTGCTGGAGTCTGGAGCCTCAGTCTCGAGCCCTCGAGCTACGGTCCGCACAGCACAGGGGAACAAAAAAACGCGAGCTCGAGGTGTGATTCGGCAACCATCACACATGAACTCCCTGAAATACTTCGCGGAAGCAAACATGGAAAACAGACACACCTTTCCTCCAGCAGGGCCAGAAGGGCTCTGCTTGGGTCAGTCATAAGCTCCAAGAGGCATCGGAGTACTCCCGAACGACTTATGCCGTGGCTACGATTTTCGATATTTTCTACAGCATGCTGTGCATGTGTGCCACTACGTGTGCAAGCAGTCTGGACGCTACCTGTGCAAAGCTGGATTGGCTTCCACCACCACGGCAGGTCCTCTGCCTGTCAAAGTCTCAAAGTTTGCTTCTGCGCACGAGTAACTGCAGGCCGCAAATACGATACAGTCCTGTCTCCTACAGCGTCCTGCCGCTCACCCTGCAGCCCTCCAGCTTGCATTCTGGCTGCGCCTTTTCCAGCTGCCTTGGCATCCGCCAGTTCAAGCTGATCAATTTGCCTGCCGGATGCCATGAGAAGTGCTTACTGCGGGTTACTTCTAATCTGGAGCTTGAGCTGCTGTTGTGTCCACTACGCGAACACCAGCGGTTTGCTTCCGTTTCTCAACTTCTCGTCCCATAACCCGGGCATCGGCGGAAGGGATCTCTTGAAGGGAGACAACGGTAGACTAGCGCCGAACACCCCGGCACTGGCCTGCCACCAACAAACTACCGCCACAGCAACGATATATAACCTTTTCTACATACACACGCACACCATCAGACAACTGTCAGGAACGCGGAGCAGTACAGAAAATATTTTCTGAAAACAGCCTCACCAGAATCATGTAAAAACCAAAGTGTGTCGGACAGGGCCTAAGCAAGTGATGACACAAGCCTGTTGTCCTTTGCGTGTTCCTGTGTTTGAGACCAGCGAGAGTTGAACGCACGACAAACAGCGA